ATATCCCATGTCCCTCCCGGTGGGATTCCAGCCCTTGGAGTGGCCCTATATGATATCCCATGTCCCTCCCAGTGGGATCCCAGCCCCTGGAATGGCCCCCATATGATATCCCACATCCCCCTCAGTGGGATCCCAGCCTTTGGAATGGCCCCATATGATATCCCATGTCCCTCCCAGTGGGATCTCAGCCCTTGGAATGGCCCCCATATGATATCCCATGTCCCCCTCAGTGGGATCCCAGCCCTTGGGGTGGCCCCATCTGATGTCCTGGTGGAATCCCAACCCTCGAGGTGACCCCATCCCATGTCCTCCCAGCTGGGCTCATGGTGAGATTCCAGCCCTGAGGGTGGCCCCATCCAATGTCACCTGTCCCTCCAACTCGCCTTGTGGTGGGATCCCAGCCCTTGGAGTGGCCCCATATGATATCCCATGTTCCTCCCAGTGGGATCCCAGCCCTTGGAGTGGCCCCATATGATATCCCACATCCCTCCCAGTGGGATCCAGCCCTTGGAGTGGCCCCATATGACATCCCACGTCCCTCCCAGGGGGATCCCAGCCCTTGGGGTGGCCCCATATGACATCCCACGTCCCTCCCAGTGGGATCCCAGCCCTTGGAGTGGCCCCCATATGATATCCCATGTCCCCCTCAGTGGGATCCCAGCCCTTGGAGTGACCCCATATGACATCCCACGTCCCTCCCAGTGGGATCCCAGCCCTTGGGGTGGCCCCATATGACATCCCACGTCCCTCCCAGTGGGATCCCAGCCCTTGGAGTGGCCCCACCCCATGTCCATGTCCCCCCAGCTGCACTCCCTGGCCTACGTGAAGCTGCACAGCCTCCTGCAGACGTCCTCAGCTCCCAGGAAGGACGAGGCCTGTTACCTCCTGGGGAAGCTGGAGACCCCCCTGCGGCGCTCGCTGGAGGCCAAGTCGGAGACGTTCTCCTGGCTGGTGCCCATCATCCGCACGCTCATGGACCAGTGCTACGAGACCCTGCAGCTGCAGCTCTTCCTGCCCTCCCTGCCCCCCACCAACGGCAGCCCCACCTTCTACGAGGACTTCCAGCTCTTCTGCACCACCCCGGAGTGGAGGGGCTTCATCGAGAAGCACGTGGGTGTCATCGCTGGGGGAACACCCGGGTGATGGGTGGTGGGTGTGAAGCCCTTGGAAACACCTCTTCCCTCCTCCTGGTTTCCCCAGGTGCAGCCCACCATGGCCCAGTTTGAGATGGACACCTTTGCCAGGAGCCACGACCACATGTCCAACTTCTGGAACGCCTGTTACGATGCCATGATGAGCAGCGCCCAGCGGCGGGAGCAGGAGAAGGCGGCCAGCCGCAAGATGTTCCAGGTCCTGCCTGCTCCTCACCCCTGGGATGTCACCTGGGGGTGTGCTCCTCACCCCTGGGATGTCACCTGGGGGTGTGCTCCTCATCCCTGGGATGTCACCCTGCGAGTGTGCTCCTCATTTTGGGGATGTGCTCCTCACCCCAAGGATATCATCCAGGGAATGTGGTCCTCACCCTGGGGACATGTTCCTCATCCTGGGGACGTGCTCCTCACCCCTGGGATGTCACCCTGGGGGTGTGCTCCTCATCCCTGGGATGTCACCCTTGGGGTGTGCTCCTTGTCCTGGGGACATGCTCATCATCCCAGGAACTTTATTCCAGGGACATCATCCCAGTTATGTGCTTCTATCCCCGAGCACATCATCCCGGGGTCATTCTCCCCACCCTGGGGGTGTCCCCCATGAACACACTCCTCACTTCAGGGTTGTCCCCAAGCCCCAGCCCTGCTGTCCCTTCACTCTGGTGCTGCCTTGGCAGGAGCTGGTGCTGGAGCCAGTGGCCAAGCGCTCCAAGGCGGAGAACGCCCGGCACAGCAACGTCCTCAAGCAGGCCAACAACCACCAGAGCACGGTGCTGAAGCAGTGGAGGTCCCTGTGCCGCCTGCTCACCTCGCCCCGCTCCGCCTGGGCCGACCGGTGAGCGCCCGCCCCGTCCCGGGGCAGGGGGGGCACAGCCGGGGGTCCCTGGAGTGTCTGAGCCCCCCCCGTGCCCCCCAGGAACCCGCCGGAGGTTCGCTGGAAGCTGTCGAGCGCCGAGACCTACTCGAGGATGAGGCTGAAGCTGGTGCCCAACCTCAATTTCGACCAGCACTTGGAGGCCAGCGCCCTGCGGGACAACCTGGGTGAGGCTGGTGGCACTGGGGGACCCAGGGGCATAGAGATGGGCTGGGAGCTGTCATGGACAGCCTGAAATTTGGGGGCCCTTCTCAGGACTTGTCCCCCAGCTCTGGGAGCACCTGCTGACCCCCCTCCTCGTTTCAGGAGCCGAGCACCTCCAAACCCCCGCCGAGCCCCTCCCGCTCGCCATGGCCAAGGAGGCCAAGGTGAGCGAGCTGGAGGATGACCAGCTGGCCGAGGAGGACCTGCCCGTGCTGGACACGCAGTGAGTGTCCCCGTCCCTGCCACGGTGCCAGCTCGCCCTGGCTGGGGGTGTCACTGGGGTGTCCTCACCCCGCTGTGCCCCCCAGGGCCGAGCCCAAGGAGCAGAGCCAGCGGGAGAAGCTGGTGGTGTCGGAGGACTGCGAGCTCATCACCACAGTGGCCGTGGTGCCCGGGCGCCTGGAAGTGACCACCCAGCACATCTACTTCTACGATGGCAGCAGCGACAAGGAGGAGACGGAGGGAGGTAACGGCGTGTGAGCCCTGAGGGGGGTGAGGACCCCTCACTCCACACATCTCCCTCAGAACCCATCGCCCACGCTGGGGGTGGGGGTGGGTTTCTCCCAGCCCCATCCCTGCCTTGGGAATGGGGGCCTGGGTGGATGGTGATCCCTGTGGGACTCCATGCCCCCCATCTTGGCAGGGATTGGCTACGACTTCAAGCGCCCGCTGTCCCACCTGCGCGAGGTCCACCTGCGCCGCTACAACCTGCGCCGCTCCGCCCTCGAGCTCTTCTTCATCGACCAGGCCAACTACTTCCTCAACTTCAGAAAGAAGGTGGAACACCCTTATCCTACCCCCAAGCCCCTCCCAGGGCCACGGCACTGCCCGAGCTCCGGTCACTCCGCGTCCTCTCCCCGTCCCTCCAGGTGAGGAACAAGGTGTACTCCTGCATCCTCGGCCTGAGGCCCCCCAGCCAGATCTACTTCGGCAGCCGCTCACCCCAGGAGCTGCTCAAAGCCTCGGGGCTCACACAGGTACTGGCCTCTCCGTGCCCATCCCCATCCCATATGGTTGGAATTCCCAGATGGGAAAGGGGAGCGTGACAGCGTGGGGTGGGGATGCTCATGGGATCAGGGATGGCTGTGGGTTGGAGATCTCCATGGGACCAGGGGTGGCTGTAGGATGGGGATGACTCTGGGACTAGGGATGGCTCAGGGACCAGGGATGGCTCTGGGACCAGAGTGGTCCTGGGATTGGGACAGCTGTGGCACCAGGGGTGGCCATAGGACCAGGGATGGATGTGGGACCAGGGTGGCCATGGAATGGGCATGACCATGGGTCCAGGGGTGACCATGGGACCAGGGATGGATGTGGGACCAGAAGTGGCCATGGAATGGGCATGGCCATGGGACCAGGGATGGCTGTGGGGTGGATACAGCCGTGGGACCAGGGACAGCCGTGGGACTGGGGTGGCCATGGGATTAGGGACAGCTGTGGTACCAGAGGTGGTCCATGGCCATGGGACTGGGGACAGCCGAGAGACCAGAGGTGTTCTGGGACCGGTGATGGCCATGGGATGGGCCCTGCCATGTGGTGGGGTGTCTGCCCTGTCTCCTGCCCCTCCCAAGCCCATCTCACCCCCGCCCCCTCACTCCAGAAATGGGTCCTGCGGGAGATCTCCAACTTCGAGTACCTCATGCAGCTGAACACGATCGCAGGGCGCACCTACAACGACCTGTCCCAGTACCCCGTGGTGAGCCCCGTGTCCCTCCCGTGCCCCCACAGCCAGCCCGTGCCCCCCCAGCCTCACCCACCTCCTGCTCCCCCCCAGTTCCCCTGGATCCTGCGGGATTACGTCTCGGAGACCCTGGACCTCTCCAACCCGGCCGTGTTCCGGGACCTGTCCAAGCCCATCGGGGTGGCCAACGAGCGGCACGCCCGGGACGTGAAGGAGAAGTGAGTGCCCCAGAAATAAAGGACGGGGGATGCGAGGAGTGCCTGGCTGGCTCACGGCAGACCCCGTCCCACCTCACCTCCAGGTACGAGAGCTTCGAGGACCCCACGGGCACCGTGGACAAGTTCCACTACGGCACCCACTACTCCAACGCGGCCGGAGTGATGCACTACCTGATCCGCACCGAGCCCTTCACCACCCTCCACATCCAGCTGCAGAGCGGCAGGTGGGCACCCGCAGGGCGGGCACCAAGGAGGGGGCATCGAGGGGACAAACAGCCCCCAACCAGCTGTCCCCTGCCACCAGGTTTGACTGCTCGGACCGGCAGTTCCACTCGGTGCCGGCGGCGTGGCAGGCGCGCATGGAGAACCCCGTGGATGTCAAGGAGCTCATCCCCGAGTTCTTCTACTTCCCGGAGTTCCTGGAGAACCAGAACGGTAAGAGGTGACCATCCCCACCCGTGGGAGCACTTGGGGGGTCTGTGTCCCTCACTGAACTGAGGTTCTTGTTAAGAGATCCCTGAATGACCAGCGTTTAATAATTAATAAATATATAAAATATATAAAAATATATAAATATATAAAATATATAAAAATATATAAATATATAAAATATATAAAAATATATATAAATTTATAAAAATATATAAATATATATAAATATATAATATATAGAAATATATAAATATATAAAATATATAAATATATATAATGTATTATTATTTATTATATATCATTTACTAATATATTGCTGTTATATATTATATATTATTATATATCATATATTATACAATATATCATATTATACAATATATTACTATGTAATATATAATATATCACAATATATTGTTCTATTACTCTATAATATTATTTATTATATATCATTTACTAATATATTGCCATGTTAGATATTATATATTATTATATGATATATTATATAATCTATTATACAATATGTTATTATATATTATATAATATATCACAATATATTATTCCATTACTATGATATGATACTATATATTGTATTAATATATTATTATATTTTTATATTAATGAATTATTATTTATTACTTTAGGGTTTATTTCAGAACAATTTGGTTGTAATGAAAAGCAGAGATGGAGCCCATTTGTGTCATTAATATCTGTAGAAATATAGGAATATAAAAGTATAAAGTTCTCACTTAAGAAAATGTGTAAGGGAAAAGAAAGAAAGAGAAGGAAAGGATCCAAGTAGAAAGTTCTCACCACCCACGGATCCAGCAACGAGAGTTGATGGTTGCCAGGTCCATGTTGAAGTGATGGTTTGGTCTTGATCTGTCTGGGGTGGGGGAAGCCCCCAAAACACAAAGTTCAGGGGATTAAAATACATTCAGGTGGGATGTATTCAGGTGGGAACACCCAGAAATGAGTCTGGGGGCACTTCGGGGGTCTTGGATGGTTTATGACCCTTCCAAGACGTGACCAACGTAGCTGGGCCAGTTGTGCCCCATCAGAAGGGACGGAAACCTTCAGCCCCACCTGGGAATGTCCCCCCTGACACGGGAGTGTCACCCCTGAGCCAGCTGTGTGAGGGAGGACATGGGCAGGACAGAAACCATCATCCCACCACGATTGCTTCTTGTTGATCTCTGCCCTTCTCTGGCTCAAAACCAACTCACTGGTGAACAAAGGTTGATTTGTCGTGGTCGCCTTCTGAAGGTGGAGATGGGGAAGGGGATGGAGACGGAGAATAAGGAAGAGGATAGAAGTGGAGATGGAGATGGGGAAGGAGAGAGAGATGGAGACGAGGAAGGGCTGTGTTTGCAAATGGCTGATGATCTGAGCCACCAACCATCAACATCCCAGTCTCTCACACTCCCCCCCTGCCCACAGGCTTCGACCTGGGCTGTCTCCAGCTCTCCAACGAGAAGGTGGGCGACGTGGTGCTGCCGCGGTGGGCGCGGTCCCGCGAGGACTTCATCCACCAGCACCGCAAAGCCCTGGTGAGACAGGGGAGCTCATCCCCGGGGGGTATCCCAGGGGGATGGGGAGCGTTCCCAACCCCCCCTGATGCCCCCCCCTTGGCCAGGAGTCAGAGTATGTCTCGGCCCACCTCCACGAGTGGATCGACCTCATCTTTGGGTACAAGCAGCGAGGCCCGGCCGCCGTGGAGGCCCTCAATGTCTTCTACTACTGCACCTACGAGGGTGAGCCATGGGGAAGGGAGCTGGGGGGCACCTCCTGGGCCAGAGGCACCTCCCAGGTGGCCCTCCCGTGACCGTCCCCATCCCCAGGGGCCGTGGACCTGGACGCCATCGCCGACGAGACGCAGCGGAAGGCCCTGGAGGGCATCATCAGCAACTTCGGGCAGACGCCCTGCCAGCTGCTCAAGGTAGCTCAGACCCCCCTACTCCCAAAACCAGCCCCTTTTGGGGGGTCACCCCCCTGCTGATGGGTCCCTTCGCTCCCCCAGGAGCCCCACCCCGCCCGGCTGTCGGCAGAGAGCGCTGCCCAGAGGCTGGCCCGCCTCGACACCCGCTCCCCCAACGTCTTCGAGCACCTGGACCAGCTCAAATCCTTCTTTGTGGAGGTGAGGGCGACCCCGGGGGGTCCCTGGGCCCGACTGGGAGGGGTGGGTGTGGCCAGGAAGGTGCCCACCGGCTGCTGTGTCCCCCCAGGGCATCAGTGACGGGGTGGCCCTGGTGCAGGCCGTGGTCCCCAAGAACCAGGCGCATTCCTTCATCACTCAGGGATCCCCCGACGTCCTGGTGAGCGCGGGAAAACTGGGGCACTGGGGGGGGGGTTCTGCTGCTCCAGGGGGGTCCAGGACCCAACCAGGAGGGCTGTGGTGGTGGGAGTGGTGCCACCTCCCCCTCCGCCTCTGCCCAGGTCACCGTGAGCGCCAACGGCTTGTTGGGGACCCACAACTGGCTGCCCTACGACAAGAACATCTCCAACTACTTCAGCTTCACCAAAGACCCCACCGTGTCCAACGCCAAGTGAGTCACCCGGGCCCGCTCAGCGGTCCCCAGGGATGGTCCCTGGGGGTGCCACCGGTCCAGCAGCTCATCCCTCCCCCTCAGGACGCAGCGGTTCCTGCAGGGCCCCT